TGAATGTATCCGTCGTCAACAGTGTACCTACCTCCCATGGCAGTACAAAGTCATCTTTTTCGAACTCTTTACATTTTGCAGGTTGTGCAATTTCTGGTAACGTCCTTCAATCAGCCTGTAACTCTCTTACTTTTTGTTTCAGCCTGAGTGGATGGCCCCCGAATTTCTCCGTGGAGAACCCTCAAATGAGAAGTCTGATGTGTACAGCTTTGGTGTAATTTTATGGGAGCTTGTTACCATGCAACAGCCTTGGAATGGACTGAGCCCTGCGCAGGTTTACTTCTTCCCTGCTGCCCCCCACACCCCATATTTCTCCCGGACTTAAATATAAAAAAAACACGATGTATTTGACGTGTTATTTGTGAGCTTTCAGGTAGTTGGTGCTGTAGCTTTCCAGAATAGGAGGCTCACTGTTCCACAGAACACTTCTCCAATGTTGGCATCTCTTATGGAAGCCTGCTGGAATGAGTAAGTAAACATGTTAATACTACTAGAAGCATCCGCATCCTGTTTTTTTCATATCGATCTCTACTAGTCAACTTGTGTTGTAGATCATGTCAAAGAATTCTCTACCTCTGCGCTCTATTTCCATCAGTTAATAGTTTCACGTTTTCTCACAGTGACCCGGTACAACGCCCATCCTTCGCTAGCATTGTGGATACATTAAAGAAACTACTCAAGTCTCCACTACAGTTGATTCAGATGGGAGGAACAATGAAGAGTTAAGATACTCTCCACTTATCTTGGAGAAGAATAAATTCATCATAGTTCAAAGATACATAATTTACGTAATGCTGACGAAATCCGGAAAACTTTGCCCAACAACTGCAAATATGTTGGCTCTCTTCTACTTTTTGAATGATAAACAAGCCTCTGTTAGTTCCAGTTATAGATATGAGGCATTTCTAAAGCTGTTTAATTTCTTGCAAGAGACAACTCTAAACTTTGTCAGCCAATTATCCTTGCAAATGTGGAATAATTAGAGGCTGGAATTATAATTATGTAGTAGTATTTTGGAGAAGTATTCCTTGTAGAAGTCTATAATTATGTAGTATACGGGGAAAGTATTCTTGCAATAGTTTTTATTATTCTGATTACTGCAATAATAATATAGAAAAGGTCAGTTATTTATGGTTTATCTATCTTTATGTTCTTGTGGATTGCTTACAATCCGTTGATACTTGCCAATATTTAGTACAAGATACTACTTCAATTTTTTTTCTCGTTTATTCAAATATAAATTCTAAATCATTTTCTATTCGAATCATGATTTTAAGTTTATGTTCAAATGCTTACAAAATAATTTGAAGTACAACTATTTATGTGAATTCGAATTTTATTGACTCAATAAGTTGATACGGGACATCAAGTGAACCAAATCATTTTCACTAATAAATATTTATAGCTAGTGAACATAGCTGAATATATATCAGTAATAAACTGGAGTAATTAACCTTCTGTTTGGATGGTTGTTATATATTATTTCATAATGTATGATATTGTATTATACTAGATGATTATTATATATTGTTTCGTAAGGTATAATATTTAGATATATTGTGTTGTTCTCCATCCTTATATTGTTGTTGGGTTATGAAGGTGATTAGGGCGTCATGCGGAAGCTTACAATTGCAAATAATATGGTGATAAATTAGATGACACATAAAACTATACTAAAAGACATAATATTATTATATAATATGACCAATTGGCCTACATAATTAAAAACTAATCAAAACATAAAAAAACTGTAGAGAGAAAATCTCCCATAAACAAAACTCTCTAAGCGACTACATTGTGGATTCTATTGTGTTATGCTATGAGAATAGGGATCTTCAATTTATAGATTTCCAAACTATTCCTCTAAGGAAAGAATAAACCAAATATGGAAGAAAATTATATTTTCCTTTCAGAAAAAGTTCAAGCATTTATGGTAATACTTTGACTTTTCTTTAAGGAAAAAAGATAAGGAAAGAAAATCAGGGCAAAATCCTAACAATTGTGTCACACATTAATAACCATCCAAGTTTGGTGTAAACTTTTAGAGAAAATGACATAAATGGTCCCTAAACTATCACAGTAGGTCTAAAATAGTCCCTTAACTATACACTTGACGAATATAGTCCTTTAACTATCCACCCTTTTGTCAAGTTTGGTTTCTATCCACTTTTATACCCACTGTTAACAAACGTCGTCATTCAGTACACTCTCTCTTGATTTTCTTTTTCCCTCCTCTTTTCTTCATTGTGAGACGCTACAGTCAAGAAAACCCTAAAATCTAGATTCATTTCATCAGATTTGACCATTATTGAAAGCTCAAGACAATGATTCTATGACCAGAAGGTGGTACAGCTCCTCCCTATGGTAAGTTTTCTAGAGTTCAAGTCTTTATTTGTGTGAGATTTTGTTGTACAAAAGAAAATATCATTTTTTTTTTAAAAAAATTCTGCTTACAGATTCTATACACGATGCCTTAAAAATCAGCATCAAAGTAACCCACGATGGTTTTATGAAGCATCTGCCTAAAAAATATTATTTTGGAGGTCGTGTCCAGTTCATTGACCTATATCACTTTTGTCAAGTTTGGTCTATATCACTTTTTGGACAAAAGAAATGACAAAAAAGAAAATCAATGGAGAAGAATTGAAAAAAAAGAGTGAGGAAACAATGAGATAATGGAGAAAAAGAGGTGGAAAAAAGAAAGGAGACAAATTGAATTATAATGTATGTTAACGGTGTTTGTTAACACTTTTCAAAAAGTGATATAAACCAAACTTGATAAAAGTGATATAAAAAGTGATATAGGTCAATGAACTGGATACGACCCCCAAAATAACATAAAATCACCGTGGGTTACTTTGATGCTGATTTTTAAGGCATCGTGTATAGAATCTGTAAGCAGAATTTTTTTAAAAAAAAAATGATATTTTCTTTTGTACAACAAAATCTCACACAAATAAAGACTTGAACTCTAGAAAACTTACCATAGGGAGGAGCTGTACCACCTTCTGGTCATAGAATCATTGTCTTGAGCTTTCAATAATGGTCAAATCTGATGAAATGAATCTAGATTTTAGGGTTTTCTTGACTGTAGCGTCTCACAATGAAGAAAAGAGGAGGGAAAAAGAAAATCAAGAGAGAGTGTACTGAATGACGACGTTTATTAACGGTGGGTATAAAAGTGGATAGAAACCAAACTTGACAAAAGGGTGGATAGTTAAAGGACTATATTCGTCAAGTGTATAGTTAAGGGACTATTTTAGACCTACTGTGATAGTTTAGGGACCATTTATGTCATTTTCTCTAAAAGTTTACACCAAACTTGGATGGTTATTAATGTGTGACACAATTGTTAGGATTTTGCCCTGATTTTCTTTCCTTATTTTTTTTCCTTAAAGAAAAGTCAAAGTATTACCATAAATGCTTGAACTTTTTCTGAAAGGAAAATATAATTTTCTTCCATATTTGGTTTATTCTTTCCTTAGAGGAATAGTTTGGAAATCTATAAATTGAAGATCCCTATTCTCATAGCATAACACAATAGAATCCACAATGTAGTCGCTTAGAGAGTTTTGTTTATGGGAGATTTTCTCTCTACAGTTTTTTTATGTTTTGATTAGTTTTTAATTATGTAGGCCAATTGGTCATATTATATAATAATATTATGTCTTTTAGTATAGTTTTATGTGTCTTTCTTTTGTACAACAAAATCTCACACAAATAAAGACTTGAACTCTAGAAAACTTACCATAGGGAGGAGCTGTACCACCTTCTGGTCATAGAATCATTGTCTTGAGCTTTCAATAATGGTCAAATTTGATGAAATGAATCTAGATTTTAGGGTTTTCTTGACTGTAGCGTCTCACAATGAAGAAAAGAGGAGGGAAAAAGAAAATCAAGAGAGAGTGTACTGAATGACGACGTTTATTAACGGTGGGTATAAAAGTGGATAGAAACCAAACTTGACAAAAGGGTGGATAGTTAAAGGACTATATTCGTCAAGTGTATAGTTAAGGGACTATTTTAGACCTACTGTATAGTTTAGCACCATTCAAGTCATTTTCTCTAAACTTTTACTTCCATGGACTGATATAAGCTAAAGCTTAAACACCGGTTCTAAAAATCCTCAGAAAAACCCAGAAAACTAAAATCGCCATGGATTTTTTCTCCGATAACCACATGTGGCGTGATCTTCTTCTTCAAGCAATCCTAATTCTCGTAACAATCTTCATGTTCCTTTTCATGTACAACGTTCCCCAGAAATACTTCTCGAAGCTTCGTTTCCGAAACCGGGCGGATATGCAATCGAAGCGTCACTTCGTACAAGGAGCTCAACTTCTTTCTCAAGCTAAATCAGCAGCAGTTAAGGATCGATCTAATGCTATTTCTCTTGCTAAATCTGCTGAAGCACAAGCCGATTTGGCTATAGCTTTAGACCCGAAAGATGCTGCAGCTCACATACTCAAGGCTTTAGCTCTTGATTTACAGGGGTTTAAGACGTCGGCTCTTGATTCCATCGATGTCGCGCTTTCGCCGCTAGCCGTGAAGTCGTTGTCGGAGCCGGAGAGAGCGGATGCGTTGTTTAAGCGGGCGCAGTTGAGACTAGCGGCGAGTCGACGTGAACAAATTGACTCGGTGATTGGGGATTTGACTCAGTCTGTTAGGTTGAAGGGCGATAATGTCAAGGCTTTTTGCTTGTTGGGCGATTGTTACGAGAAAAAAGGCTTGAAGGAGGAGGCACAAAAGGCTTATCAGGAAGCTCAAAAGGTTCAGCCCAATTTTGCTCCTGCTAGGGAAGCACTTGACCGTTTGAATTCCGAGTCTTGATCTCTAATTGTTTGTTTTCATTTTGTTGTTTTGTTCACTACATAGTTCTATATAAAGGCAATTATTGTTCACACTGCAATTAAACATTTGGCAATTATGTATACAATGATTAACTTCAGAGTTGATGTATCACAAATATTCAGCGCAAACCAATAACTTATATCATGAACAACAACAAAATATTCAATGTAGTTTCATAAGTGGGGTCTAGCAAGGATAGGATGTACGCACATCATACCCTTGAAACTTATATGATGAAGAATATAAAATATAGTTTAAAAAACTGAGCCTGTAGGGATATAGTTTTGGCATTCTTTTGTAAGATCATAATCAGTATTGGAGTTTAAGATGATAGGATTGGTAATTGGACCAAAAGGTGTGATCTAGTAGCTATTGAATCTTGAAAAAAATAATGGGAGATAATCGTTCGAATGTTCACCAGAGGTAAAATAACACGAGATGATTTCTTTTGATTTGCCTGCCCAAGTCTTAGTTAATAGGAACTGTTAGAAATCACCATCAAGATTGAGCAAGGCGGCAGAATTTGTTGGACAAAGTCAAGCTTGACTTGGTATATCTTAAAAAAAAGTCTAAATGAAAAGGTTAGTTTTCATACAAATTATGTTACATCATGGGAAACAGCTAATGTTCATTTACTGATGAAGTACCTGTGGTCTATGATCTTAAGGCAACTTAAAATTTCTAATTTGGTGTTGACTCATGACTGTGAGTATGTGAAAATTCTTGTAACAAAAGGTATTAGCTAGTGACTGATTGCTGAGTAGAAATTTATCAGCAGTATGGCTGGGGTTTTGTGTCCTATGCTTCAGCTTCTTTGGACATGTTGGATACTGATGTGCTTGAATTTCATGGATTGCAATGGTAAATTAGTAGAGGAGGAAAAGAGGGCACTTTTGGAGCTGAGGGACTCCCTTAACTATCCCAATGGATCTACGCTAATTAATGAATGGGTTGAAGAAAATTATTGTGCATGGGCTGGTATTTTTTGCATCAGGGATCTAAATAATGATGCACATGTTCTTGATATTATTCTTACCAGTAAAAGGGAACTTGGACTTGGAATATGGTATCCTGATGCAAACTTGTTGACTCGTTTCACGCATCTCCAGTCTCTTTATATATCTGGCAACGCTATTGGCAACTGGATCATGCCAGAAGGTATTCTTTTCATCAAAATGTTCTTCCATTACCTGTATCCATGTTTCATTTGATCAAATCTGCGTGTGCAACAACTTACCTACCTCAGTATTTAGTAGTATAATCTGTACAAACTCTTACTGCTGTTAATATCTGTTAAACACAATTATTACTTTCCTCGAATCCTTAGAGCTTTAAGATTTGCTACTTTTTTTGGAATGATTCTGCACCGGTGACCCTGATCTCCTTTCTTCACGTAGTTGCATGTTGGAGTATTACTTTTTAACAACTTATACTTGCAGCATTATGCAAATTGTGCAACCTGAAGGAATTGGATCTAAGTTTCAACCCTTTAAATGGCGATGCTCTGCCTCATTTTCAAGTATGTAGCCTCGCATCTCTAGAACAGCTGCACCTATCAGGGATTTATCCTAGTTTCCCTTTACCCCACTGCTCAGAGGTTTGTTTTCTCAGTTGTTGAATTTTGATCAGTCATAGTAGGTCCATCAAAGTTTCTACCTTGGTTTTGATATAGCTCGTTTTGCTGAACTGACGTAGCATTGTGCGGACTAAAGGATATGTGGAAACTAGATCTAAGCAACAACAATCTTACAGATGATAGCATGCCACATTGCCTGTTTGATGATCTTTCATACCTTGAAAGCCTAGACCTGTCTGGGAATAACCTTAAGAATTCCCATCACATTCTATCAGGTAAAGTTGGATAAATTTCTGTTGTTACATACATGATCTTGTGCATATTGTCATTACTATTTTCATTTTCCTAACGTGAGAATATCGTTTACAATTTAGTATTTCCATGTATTAGTGGTTTTCTCTGGTTCTTTAGCCGAGGGTCTATCGGAAACAACCTTCTACCTTTGAGGTAGGTAGGGGTAAGGTCTGCGTACACTCAGCCCTCCTTAGACAACACTTTGTGTGATTACTCTGGATATTATGTTGTTCTCGCTGTAATGGTTTCCTCCAGCTGAACAAACTGTTAATTGGTGGTGGACCCCTCTCTTCTGCTCTACTCAACTACCATCTTCTCGGTCTATATGCTGTCGTCAAACCATTGGTATTGAGTCTGCATGAAACACATAAAAACTGACTACAATTTTTAAGTTAATGGTATGATTCTCATCATCTAAAAATAGCTTCTCTAAAATGAAACAAATGTCACCATGAGGGGAGTCATTAGATGAAGATTGCACAGAGGAACTATTTTCTTGATTTGTTAATTCCAACTGTGACCTTGCATATGTAGATATCTGAAGAGTTTTTCTTCGATAAAGAACATGGTCTGAATGAAGTTCTACCTTGTAGCTTTTTCCAGTTTCCCCTAACAATCTTTGCACCAGTATAAGATAGCAGCATGAATTATCAATCCCCTGGAGTTGAGTTTTCAGGTTGTTCCTATGAATACGAAACTCATTTTCTACTCTAATTAATGAACTAGACAAAAAACATCCCTTTTGTTGCTTCATATATTTCTTGCAGCTTTATGTAGACTGCAGAATCTCAAAAGGTTGGATCTGAGTGATAATTTTCTTGATGATGGAAGCATACCGACCTGCCTCTTTGAAAATCACTCAGTGCTTGAAAGTCTGGATATTTCACATAACAATATCAGGGGTTCTCCTGGTTTCTTTTCAGGTAATGCTGATGTTTTGAAATTTCTTTCAATTTCTTTGTAGCTATCAGTTCAATTTTGAACTTGAAGTCACTGAGAATGCATCTCCAATTAACGTCTATATGCTATGCGTGAGACATGGTTCTCTTGATTCTATGATTATAACATGAAGTCCTCGATAAGATATTCTGAGCTTTCTTAGATTAAAAAATAGGTTTCCACTTGTGTTTTCCCTTGATACTCTGTCAGACTCTGAATCTGGTTACTTTGTAATTTATATGTGTTTTGTCTAGTAAAGTTGGGTTGCTGATTCCCTGTCTTTCCAGATTGTAGAATGAACATTATGCAACTTTAATTTTTTTGATCATGTTGCTAACTACTTGTTACGCTTTTCAGGAATCTGTAAACTTAGGAACCTGCAGGTGTTAAATCTTCAGGATAACCTTATACAAGGTGGACTTGATCCATGCCTTGGTGGAATGACTTCCTTGGTTTCTTTAGATCTTTCTTTCAATCATTTTGAGGGGACTTTCTTCTTACATATTCAGCAACCTGACTTTGCTCGAGACCCTTCGTCTTTCAGATAACAGGTTTGATGGACTTCTCTTGTTTGCATCATTTGCTAACCTCTCCAATCTTGAAGCTATTGATCTTACAAATAATGAGTTTGAAGTTGACACTGAAACTCCATCTTGGGTTTCATCTTTTCAACTTTTGTCCCTTGACCTACGAAATACTAGACTAAACCAGAACTATGGCCATGTAATTCCAACGTTCATCTCCAAACAACACAAGTTGAAGTCCCTGTCTTTGTCCTATAATGCCCTTCAAGGAAGCGTTCCGTCCTGGTTGTTGTATAATAATACACTTCTTATGTTGTCTTTGAGAAGCAACCATTTGTATGGTGGAATTCCTGCGTCTTCTCAGATTCAAGCATCAAGTCTTCTGATGCTTGATGTATCAGATAATTGCTTAGGCAGTACACTTCGCACTAACGTGCTCGAATCATTTCCAGACTTATTCTATCTTAACCTGTCAAATAACACCCTCGAAGGCACCCTTCCTTCATCTTTTGACAATCTGCTAAAGTTAGAGGTTCTGGACCTTTCTCACAACTTCCTACAGGGAAAACTTCCTCCAGCTTTAAGACAGAATCACACTTCATTGGCACATTTAGTTCTTTCAAACAACAACTTTCACGGGGAGGTTATGCCCCGATTTTCAAATATGTCAAATCTTGCATACTTGCATCTTCAAAATGATGGATTTATTGGAGTCCTCCCTGCTGCTATGTTTAACCTTCCTGTTCTGAAGGTCATGGACATTAGTGGGAATAATTTATCAGGGAATGTTCCAGATTATTTTCCTCTCTTTCCACATCTAGCCATACTTATCTTGGCAAGAAACCAGTTTCATGGGATTATTCCAGTGTCTTTATGCCAGATGCAAAAGCTTCATATTTTGGACATGTCAGCAAATTTACTCTCTGGGGTTTTACCTTCTTGCCTCGGTAACATAACCGCGTGGATGAAAGAATCTCAAGTTCTACTCCTAGCCTTCATGTGGTTGTCTCCTTCATATACTAACTACAGGGTCAAAGTTCCTTTAACAACCAAGGGGAATGCACTCTCTTATGAAGGTATTCCTCTTTCTCAAATGACTATACTTGATCTATCTATGAACCATTTCACCAGTGAAATTCCATCACAACTAGGACAACTAGTAGCTCTCCGTTCATTAAACCTCTCACACAACGTCCTTTCTGGCCATATTCCAGAATCGTTCATCAACTTAAAGAAACTGGAGAGTTTGGATCTTTCTTCTAACCATCTAATTGGAAAAATCCCTCCTCAGATGACTCAACTTGATTCACTTTCAACTTTAAATTTGGCTTTCAATCATCTATCAGGAAGAATCCCGTTTGAAAACAAATTTGTCACCTTTGAAGCATCTAGTTATAGAGGTAACAAGGAACTCTGTGGACCACCTCTGGAAAATGATTGTGTGTTCTCGAGCCCGCCTCAGCAGCATGAAGAAGAAGAAGACGAGAAGCAAGGAATTGGTGAGAGTGACTTCTTTTTCTTCTCATGCATAGCTGTTGCTTATGTTTTGGGATTTTGGAGTGTCATTGCTCCTCTTCTTCTTAGTAGGAACTGGCGCACGACATATTATGCTAAGGTTGATAGCTGCATTGAACTGTGCAAGGAGAAACTTCATCTGTCCTAATTCTCCATGAAAATTTTTATGCTACTTTTGTTATTTTAAGAGTCGTTTGATAGGATGTATAAGAATAGTTCTGAATAAAAGTGTGTTAGTAGTAATGCTGGTATTAGCTACGTTGATGCTATTTCTTATCCACTATTTAATATGTGGCATATTTCTACTTTCAACTTGTTTTGATGAAACATGTTGAATAGTTGCAGATAGGGGTGTTCATGGTTTGGATAAAAACCGATTCAAACCGAAAAATCAAACCAAACCGATTTAATTTGGATTTTGGTTTGGTTTTAGGTTGTTAAGAACGTAGTATTTGGTTTGGTTATGGTTTTGTTCGAAAAAATCGAAGAAATAACCGAATCGAACCAACAAGTTATATACATAAATTTTATTATTATACATACATAATATATTATATTCATAAACAATTTTAAAGATTTTATATATGTTTCATCAAAATTTATTTTTATAATTTACTTATGAAAGAAAAAATAGTCCAGGGTGAGAACATTATTCTTATTGGTTTCATGTATATGAGTGTCTATGAAAATTATTTGTGGGACTAAAAAATGTCATTGTCTCTTCCTTCTATGCCAAAATAGTGAATTTTGAAGTTTTATTCAGTAAATTCAATGATCGAAAGTTCTGTAATGCCAGTCATTCTAACTATTTTTTTTGTTTGAGTGGATTGTTGTCACTTTTTTTCACATTTTGAATGAATTGTTTATTTTTTTTTATGTATGGTTAATAACTGAATCAAACCAAACCAAAACCGAAAACAACCAAATCGATAAATGTATATTATATTTGGTTTGGTTTTGATAATTTTAAAACCGATTAAGTTAGTTTGATTTTGATTTTGGCCAATAATCGACCCAAACCAAACCGTGAACACCCCTAGTTGCAGACTTGCAGTTTTTGGTGAAAGAGTTAAACAAGTTTGAGAAAATTCTTCAATTTATGAACTTTGGTTAAGATGAACAAATTTTGGTTTTCAGTAAATTCTAAATTTAGAGAATTAGAAAGTTCTGTGGCTATTTTCAATTTCATAGAATTGAAAATCGAAACTGAACATTTTTGTAGAACCATAGTTAAAAGGAAATTCCAGCATAAATTTGTTTCTATGTTACGATTATACCAAAAAATTGTAATTCCGCCATAACTAGTTTTCAACATTACTCGTCTTAAAATTGATTAATTACCTATTAATAATATAATAATTTTTTAATTATTTATTTTGGATAGGACTCACCTTTTTTAAAAAAAAAATTAAAAAATGTTGGCTCGATTTAAAGAAATTATTTGAGCATAAATAATTATATTAATTGCTGAGAGGTTGGAGACGTATTCCCCAAGGTCTTGATCAAGTACCCAAAGAGTTGACCCCGTGCTCTGCAAGGCCAATGATTTATATCTCCATTTTGTCAATTTTTTTTTTTTTTAAAAGTAGGTTATTTTCTACTCCCTCCGTTCCTTTTTAGTTGTCATGTTATGTTTTTCGAGAGTTAATCTGACTAATCTCAAAGCTAAATTAGATTACATTAATTTGATATTTTAAAATAAAATTTTAGATATTCAAAAACTATACTCCGTATATGATGAAACTATATGATAAAAAAATACATTTTAAATTGTTAGTCAAAATTAATATCGTTTGACCCTAAAAAAGTAACAACTAAAGGAAAGTTTTTTTTCACCAAAAGTACTATAAAATGATTTCCTAGCCTTAACATCAGATCATTATTTTAATCAACACTTATCAATTATTACCAATCTTTAAAATTCAAAAAACTTCTTTAGAACACTATCCAGTTCATCACTATTGGATCAAATTTTAATAAAAGATCTAAATTCTAATAACTCACCAACCAAACACCGAAAGACCATTGAAAGAAAATATTTTTTCAAAAGAAAATGACTATCATCGTACCAAACACACAATAATCAATTAATCATCACCACTCTTCAAACCCCATCAAGATGATAGGTGTCATTATTCAAGTATTTAACAGGGATTAAGGAAGATGGGAGGATTTTTTATTTTTATTGTTTAAAATAGAGAATCTTTATAACCTTTGATCATGGGATTGTTGACCAAGGAATTAGCTTGCTTGACACTTCTCTAAACAAAAGTTCCCTATAAATAGTCTTCTGTCCACCATTCTATCAGACAACAAAACGGAACGCAAGAGAAAAGAAAACTATTCTTCTTAGCAGCTTTTTCAACCTACTCGGAGTAAGAAAAGTAAAGCAACCAACAGCCTTTTTAAACCAAGAATGGAGTCAAAATTACAAGTATCCTGGGTACTTAACAACATGAACAAGGCAATTTGGTATATCATGATTCTAGCAGTGCTACTAAATACTACTGCTAAATTATACTTGAATTTGGTTCCTGAGAAGACAAAGTTAGTACTAAGAGATGAAGCTGAAAATGAGCTACTTCCATGGCTGTCTGGAAGCATCATTACCTTAACTATCAAATATCTGAATTTCTGCATTGCTAAGATGTTGCAATTCAGATACCTCGCGCCATTGCAAACTGCCCCTTCCACTATTATGTCACTGCTTTTCTGGGTTGCGTTAACTCGATCAGTCTCTTCATTGTATTCTTGAATCTTTGGCTTATAGACATTCTAAATCATCCTTTGTACATTAGTACTACTGAAAATGAAAATCTCAAGCCATTTTCAATCCAATTCCTAGGCTTCTTTGGGATACAGAGTACTAGACATCTGAGAGCCTCAGTTGTCTCTAGATAAAAGAAAGTGCATGTAATGTTTTTTCCCTGTATGCTAATTCATATATATTTGAATGACATGATGGTTGAACAAGTAGACTGGCAGAAATGTTTTCATGCTTGGATTAATTTTGCAGCAACTCTCACATAATATTCAGAAAACAAAACCTTTGCTCAGGTGCTGATAAATATACATCATCTGAAAACGCCAAACAATCACAAGCAAGTCTTGCAACAACTACATGGTACAAAAACAGTTCTGTGCATCAGATATCTTTAATTCATAATAGTAACAAAAGATTACCCTCATCTGTTCTTGTAGAGAAATCCAGTAACAGTGACGGAGATGTAACTTTTAATTATCGGCAACTTTCACCATCAAGCCACTTTAGTGACGGTAATAGCTTAATTAGAAGTGATTTTATCTTTTCATTGGAAACTGCATTTCCTTTAAGATCTAATTGTATCAAGTTCAAGTCTTTAAAAATAGCATAGGCTTCCCAATAATCAGCCACCTCAGCGCAATGGATCTCAGATTCTTCAGTTTTCCAGTCACCTCCACTTCTATGGTTAAGAGGGGAAGAGCACAAATACCTCCTCGTGTCAATAGAATGTGCTCCAATCTCGTTGTAAGAGATATCTAAGACTTTCAGTGACCTTAGCAGTTTCAAAGGTTCCAATGCAGTAAAACTGCAGAGTTTATTGTAGCTGACATTCAAGCAGGAGAGAAGTTGCATCACCTCCAAGCCTGCATCAATTTAGAGAATAATGGAATGAAGCAAGCTTCAAGCATGAAAAAGCTCCCACAAGAAGATGTTCACAAATAAATTAAGAAATCTAATGCCACATTATTGAAGAAAGGCATGATACTCGGGCAAAGAATTTAATAAAACAGAAAATTAGAAGCAATCCTTTGAAGTCAACATGATTCAGAAACATAATTGAGCACTTCCACAAGAAATGCCAGATTAATTGTAACTTTTTATTACATGGTCAACTTCACTGGATAACTACATCTGGACATCCATGTAATTTTTTTGGTAACCAATATAAATTACCATTAACAAGCGAAAAATAATACACCTAAAGAGCACTCAATCTCCTAATCACCTTCTAAGAAGGGTACTAAGAGAGTTAAGCCTCCTATAGAGATCTAGTTACACAAAATCTTTGCAACAACCAGCTATGCCAATTTGCCTAGACAGTTTAACTACCTCAAATCTATCTACAAATTCCTTCTTAATCTATGTCACGGCTGTATCTGTATTTACAATAATGCCTTTAAACAGTTTCCAGTTCCTTCCACTCCAAACCTGGTATATCACTGCTCCACACAATGCAGTAATAAGTTCCTTGAGAAATTGCTGCCAATGCTTCCTTCTGAGTCTACTATTCAGGATATGCTTGACAGTTCCAGTGGGAATAAGTGTCCCAGACCATTGTTGTATTTCAGTTTAAACTCTCACTATCCATTCACAAGTAAAAAACAGATGGATATTAGTCTCCCCAACTGACTTATCACACAAGCAGCAGGTGTCATCCTCCACTGAAATATTTAATCTCTCGAGTCTCTCTTTCGTTAGTAATTCGTCTTGCATAGCTAGCCAGTAGCCACAATATGAACCTGTGCTTAGGTTGAGCAAATTTAGTCCGGATTAAGTTAGACACTCTTAAGTATAGCATGTTGCCCCAATAGTGTATTGTAACTCTATGTGAGTGAGTATTTCCCCCAAGTTACCCCAATAGTGTATTGTAACTCTATGTGAGTGAGTATTTCTCCCAAGAAGTGAGCAAGTAAACACCAGATGAATACCAACCCTGCATCTCTGCTTTCAAGGTATTAAGTCTTCTTCCAGTACCAACTTGAGTCCAATGGTGGAGTATGTATCCATATGTTATCATTGTTTTTCGTATATACTCCATGCACCCACCTGATCCATAACACATGTTCCTTCATAGCTAGTTGCCAGAGCAGTGAGCAGTTTACCAACAGAGGCCATATTCCATAGCTTACTGCCTGTGATGTTCAGACCACCAAGCTTCTTAGGAATGCACATTTGCTCCCATGAAACTAATGGCACCTCCATACATTTGAAAAACATAAGTTCACACATACTGAGACAGAAAATCCAAATAAGACTAACTTTGGCTAGTCAATTTATTAACCAAACCATCTCTCAGATGTTTTTTAACAAGTTATCATTTATCTCTTTAAATTCTTTTTTCGTTTCATCGAGTCATTACGAAGATCATAAAAGATCAAGATGCTTTTTTTCAAGGTCAAAATCATGTTTAAATATTAGACCAACATGATGTCTAAACTATTTAGAATTTGCAAGAGTGACTCGACCAGTTTTAATGTATCAAGCTATCTAAATATTCTACATATCATGATATTATCTCTTTACAACAAATATATGACATAGGAAAGAT